GTAAGGAAAGAGATACAATCCCCATCCAAGGCACTGGGATTCCTTCCTCCAATAAGTCTGGTGGCTGACCTGAGCCAACCCTTTAATTCCTGAGAAAGGAGGAAAACATTTATTAACATTTATCTAAAGTGTTTGACAATGATTTTTAGAGAACCAGAGCGGCAGCTCTTGGGGCTGCCAAACAGCTGCCCACCACTCACCCTGCATCCCCAAGAGAGGCTGGAAGCCTTTGTTCAGAAAATCCAGGCCGGACTTTCTAACTCACCCGTGTGACTGTGTGTGTGTGTGTGTGTGTGTGTGTGTGTGTGTGTGTGTGTGTGTGTCTAGCTCGCCAGGAATTCCTCTCCCACGTGGGGTGGACTCCCAGGTACTCAATTAAGCAACCAATGAAAAGTCAGCTCTCTGGTAGCAAATGACCCTGACACTTTCCTGTAACATAAATAGTTGAAACCTTTCCAATTGGAATTGGAGACAGAGATGTTTGAACTCTTTCTCCCCATTTCCCTCCTTCTTTAAAAATAATTGTCAAAAGCTTTGGACAGGGTGTTATATACATGGTGCTTTTTTATTTATTGTTATTTCATTTTGTCTTTCTCAAGCATAAAAAAATTATTTTTCTCTTTGTTTTTCTTGATTCGTAGTGTGGTGTGGAAGTAGGGGTAGAGCAGTGGAGAGTTTAAAGTTGTGCTGGCCTAGTTACCTCCCAGTCCTCCTCCTCCTAAGGTTAGGGGCTCAGACTGCTCTGGAGAGCTGGACTTGATGGTGGGTGTGAAATGACTGGAAGCCAAGGGCTGATAGTGGATGAATGGATGGATGGATGGATGGATGGATGGATGCATATGAATGCATGAATAAGTGCCATTCCCCCCCCATCCCCCCACCTCCCCGCAAATGGTCCCTCAGATCCAGCTAGAGCAAGCAAATGGGAAACTGAGGTTGGCTGTCCTAGGCTGTCCTAGACTAGAATACTGACACTTCTGCCCCACATAGGGCAAATTATTGATGTTTCTCGGCCTTTTTTTACTCTATGAAATGGGGCTACCGGCCAGGCCACTTCCCTCAAGAGAGAGGCGAGGAGAGAGTTCTAGCCTGGATAGCAGTGCCCTGCCTTGTACATAATAAGCACTCCGGCCCAGTTCTCATTCCTTATCTCCAGGCCACATCCATCACATGCTGCTACAGGCTCTACTGAAGTGCCAGGCCAGGAGCTGACTCTGAGGCTCACAGATGAACATGATGGGAGTCTACCCTGCAGGACGCTTGGGTCCTGGGTCCCCAGGAGTATGGATGTAGGGATAGGAGCAACTCACGAACCCGAAACGGAGCTGCTGTGCTCCACAGTCCCCGAAGACCGGGATTGGGACCTGAGCTCGTGGGCCCACTAGGGGCGGGCGCCTTCAGAGCCAGTTCAGATTGAAGCCCAAAGAGGGAGGCGCGAAGAGGCGCCGAGTCCTGGCATTTTGAAGGCATTGTGCTTAATAAATCCGGGCTAGACGCACACCCGCTCTCCCCCTTCTCCTCTAGTCTCCCAAATCGTGACCTGCTGTGGGATCCCAGTTTATGGGGTCTTAAAACTCCCCTCTACTTTGATTAGCGGCTTCAAAGAGATCGCTTTAAAGTTCGCCCCCTTCCTCGCCCCATCCCTTTTACTGGCCCCCCTTCCCCCATCACTCCTTCTAGACTTCAGGACAACAACAAAACAATTAACACAAGTTTAAGAGGTGGGGATGGGGGTGAGAGTGAGGGAGAGAGCAATCTTGCACACGGGCGTAGAAATTACCTGTTTCAGGCGTGTGCAGAAGTCGGGAACCATGGAGTTTGAATGCTTTTCCTTTTGCTCTTCCTTTCTTTCTTTCTTTTTTTTTTGGGGGGGGGAGGAGAGGGTTGTGTGTGTGTGTGTGTGTGTGTGTGTTTTACCTTTTATTATTTAAATTGATACGTTTCATTACTAGGGAGAAAAATAAAATATTCCTTTGATACACAAAATCAAATTGATATTTAGCCTCTGCTTACTTTTTTATGCATGGCTCCTTTATACCACATGGTAGTGACAGATTGTTTGAGCTGGAAGGAAAAGCCATTCAAAGCTAATTAAGCAGCCATTCCAAGCACTATTTGCAAGCGGGAGGCTCAGAAGCCTCCGCATTTGTCAGCGCTCCCCAAACCCGCGTGGTTTTGACTGACAGTTCTGGCGCGGACTGACAGCTCCAGGAAGCTCCACCAATCATTAACCAAGAGTCGACCTAGCGGTCTCTGATTGGTCTTTCTGACCTTGCTCAGGGGCGGGACTGGCGGACCCCACGTGGGTGCAGGAGCCAGAAAGGGGCGGGGTGGGTAGGAAGCGGGTGCGCCCACCCGTGACGTAAGGGGGAGGGCAGAGAAGGGGAGGGGAAAGAAAGCTCCAAAGAGGAGCCATTTTGTGTCTAATGAATACTGCGGAGAGATGCTCTCGCATCTGTCGAGCCAGGCTTTTCCCCCACCCACCTCCGTTCGTTGCGCGCCGCACACGATTTATGTTTTTATTTAAGAAAATAAACAAATGAAGGGAGGAGCCGCGGCTAGGGCGGCCGGCCGGCGCCTGGGCGCTGGGACGTTGAGCCTCCGAGGCGGGCGCTCACGTGTAACTACGCGGGCCTCCCAGCGCCCGCTCGCCAGCAGCTCCTCATTAAGATCGCGGGCGAACTCGGCTCCTAATGAGGGGAAATATAGGTCGGGGGGCGCGCGTCGGACTCGTGCGTGCCCGCGCGGGTTGGAGCTGCTGGAGAGGGGCCACGGGCCACCTGGGTCGCCCACGCGGAGTCGGCCTTGGAGCTGCTTGGGAGTCGCTTCCCCGTGACCTGTCCATCCCGAAGCAACCCTGAGCGCGGGAGAGTTAGGCGGCGGTGTGTGGGCCACTTGGCAGGGATGTGAGTGATGTGTGCGACCGCGCGGGGAGTCCCGGAGTCGCGCTGGGGCGGGTAAGCGTCTGCGTCTCCCGGGACGTGGAGGCTGGCAGCCGCGACCCGCGTGGTTGCACGCGCCCCTCCTCAGGCCCTCCGCGGCGCTGTGACACTGGCGGGACAGGCAGAGGACACCGGGTCGGAACTCCGAGCTTCCGGGCCGGGCCATGGTCGCCACCTCATTCCCTACCTACTGCCCCGGCCTCGCTGTTCCCGGCGGGAGAGAACCCCTGTGGGGGCAGCGCGAATTGAGCTGTTTGTTCCAGGGCAACTGGCCCTTCTTCGGAGCTGCCCGCCTAGCAAGAGTTCCCCAGATTTCTCTTTGCAGGCAGCCTTTGCACATCAAAGAAGTCGTTATTTGGCTTTCCGAAAAGGACGAAAGAACAAAGAATAGCTGGGGGCCATGGTGGGTGGGGAAGCAGGAGGAGTAAAGAAAGGGACACCCTCAGTTCGGAGCAAAGTTGGGAGGCAACTTTGGGAGCCACCATTTTCTCCGTCTTGTGAAGTGAAAACATTAAAGTGACAAAGTGATTTTGTTTGTTTTATAGTATCTAATTGGGCTGCTCTGCAGACCTAATGAGATTAAAAGGGAGGAATCGTTTGCCGCCACGGCAGAATAAACTGATACATTACACCAGCCACAGGTTTTGAGGACTGTACAGCTCGTCTTTTTTCCTTTTGTTGTTATTCCGGTACTCTCTTTCCTCTTGCCAAATAATTGTTAGTAGATTGAGGCGGAAAAAAACTCTAGCAGTTCAGGGCTATCATATATATCTATTTATTATGTGTCTTTCGGTTAATTCCTGATCTGAGAAGCGCTGTTTTTCACTCCCCAGCTAAAGCCACCGGCGGGTAGGGCCTGATTGCTACTTTTCATGCATAGTTTTAGACACAAGAGGGCATTGTGACGTGGAGCCCAGCGGCGCCCAGTAGCAGGCCGAGTCCGGCGGCCCCACGTGGGGGCCTGCGCTCCCATTGGCCGGCGCGGGGAGAAGCTGCCACATTATTTTGTTACTTTTCAGTCCCTATTTGGAACTGCTCTCGCGGCAGTTCAGACCTCGTGCTTGTACCCCCTCGCCTGTCTGTGTGTGGTATCCGCAGGTCCGGGGCACTTTTTGGCGTGTGTATGTGTGTGTGTGTGTGTGTGTGTGTGTGTGGTGTTTAGGGGGTTTGTCGTGGCGCAGAGCGGAGGGCTGCGCCGGGGGAAGGAAGGAAGCCACAGCTCCGGGTCTCCTGCCGCGTCTCCCTCCTGCGTTCTGCCTGCGCGCTCCGAGGCCACTGTGGCGGCGCTGAGCGCTCCTCGCTGGGGACAGGGCGTCGGAGCGGGGAGCCGCGAGGACCCTTTTGCGGAGGCTTTCGGTGCCGCTGGAGTTAAGATGCCAGGTCCGCTGATTTGCACCCACTGAGCCGGAGTTTTCTTCGCGGCCCTGGGAAGGGCTGGCGGCGGCGGCGGCGGCAGCAGTAGCAGACCGAGCAGCAGGCTCTCCTCTCCGAGGGGGGGCGGCGGAGCGCCCGCTCCGGGCTCCCGCCCTCAGCCTCCAGCGTTCCTGAGGCCCCTACCCGCCGCCTCGGAGCCGGCCTTCTTCCTCTTCTCGCCGGCCTCTGGTTTGGACCCGAGCGCCACCAATGCTGGGTCTGCCCTGGGGCGCCCCCGTCCCACCTCAGTGATTGGAGGGGACCCGCGCTTGCCCCTGGAGGGGCCCTGGCCTCGGAAGCCGTGCCGGACCCGCCGGGGAGGAGACCATGTCCACGCAGCCCCCGGTTTTGAAGCGCTCCTCGCAGACGGGCGAAGGCGGCCGGCCACAGCCCGCCGAGTCCTAGGCTCACAAAGCCTGCGCCCTCAGCCCGACCGCGGTGCCCGCCGACGACTTTGCCGCTAGCTTCCCAGCTCTTTGTCTCCGCTTGGGTGGGCGCCCGACTCTGGGATTTCGCTGTGAGAGCGGGCTGGGGGGGCCGGGGGCGAGCTCTCGGTTTGCCGGCCGCCCCCCGCTCGGGCTTGGCTCCCCCCTCCCCCGCGTCTCCTTGGTCCGGACTCTCTGCGAATCACGACCCCTCCCTGCCATGTATCCGCAAGGCAGACATCCGGTGAGTAATTGCAACTCGGTTTATTTAAGCATCTATCATGGCAGGGTAAACGAGGCAGTTTATCTGGCACCTCCATTTTGCTTGTTGCTACCTTTCTGATGTGAGTGTGAGTGTGTGTGTGTGTGTGTGTGTGTGTGTGCGCGCGCGCGCGCCGCGTCCACAGGCACGCGCGCTCATACAAAGGGGATGGGGGTGCCTCTGAGAGAGGAGCTCATTCTACCTGTGAGAGGGGCGCTGCCTGTTTCCAGAGACCTGTTTGTTTTCATGCTGTTCCCTGCTCCCTCAACTAAGTCTCTCAATTCAGCCTCGTGTCTCCCCTGCCCCCATCTTACTTGGAATGGGGGACCCTTCCATTATAGAGATGGGAGCTTTGCAGCCAATTGGAAGAGATTGGGGTGGCACCCCTCCTGCCCCATCTGGGAGCTGAGAAACTTGCTGGGAAGGTGGGGGTCTGTGAGAGTGGCTCTCTGGTGGGGTGAGGATGGGGTGGGGGTGGCCGCTGAGGGGCCCAGGCCGCTTGGAGCCCCAGCTGATGTCCCCCTCCCCCTGCCCCATTCCTCCCTCCCTGTTTTGTCCTTCCCGTCTTCAGGCTCCCCATCAACCCGGTCAGCCGGGATTTAAATTCACAGTGGCTGAGTCTTGTGACAGGATCAAAGACGAATTCCAGTTTCTGCAAGCTCAATATCACAGGTAAGGCCTTGGGGACCGTCCCCGGGTGGTGGGAAGGGGGAGTCCCTGCCGTGGCTCCTCCGGGGGACGGTGGGATCTCCAGACCTCGGGCTTCAGGGTAGCCGGGCCTTTTTGCCTTTTGTTTCCCCTTTCTAAGTGCATTGCTTTAACCCATCTCAGCCTGCAGACTCCTAGCTCCCCGCACAGCCCTGCAGGGTCCCTAGGATGAGGGCCGGAGTCTTGGGCAGGCTCGCTCTGGGTTCTGGGGGTAGAGAGCCAGCTTCAGGGACCTGCCTGTCTGTGGCCCTATCACTCTCCTCACTTGGCCACGGGAAGTTTTAGTTTTTTCACTCTCCCTTCATCCAGAGGCTTTGGGGTAATAGAGTACCCAGGGGGGCATTAGGGAAGTGGAAAAGTGGCTATCAGAGGCCTTCGGTTGGGGCCTCAGGGAGGCTGTGCAGGCCCCAGGCCTGAGCCGGCTGCTCCTGTCCTTGCAGCCTCAAAGTGGAATACGACAAGCTGGCGAACGAGAAGACGGAGATGCAACGCCATTATGTGATGGTGAGAGGTGGTGAGGGCGGCCTAGCAGGCCGACTGGAGCCCTGGGGGCTGGTGCAATCTTAGTGTGCCTTCTGAACCTTCCCACCCTCCTTCATCCGGCTACTTGGAGGAGGGTGAGCAAGAGGAGAAGCAGAAAGAGAAACCCAAACCCCAGTCCCGGCATTTCTGCCCTACCTTTGTGCCCCTTTAATTCATGTGTTGAAGGTTTCCCAGAGGGCTGGTTGCCCTGTCATGGTGAGTAGGACAGGGCCCCATGTCAGGGTTGGATAAAAATTTCCCATAGAGCCCTCTTGGGAGTGTTTGGAAACTTTGCAACTCAGGGATGTAGCCAGTGGGCTATAAACCTTCCCTCCTATCCATTTCCTTCCCCAGACATTTCTGAGTGGAGGAAGAGCCTCCACTGCCCTCTCAGGGATTTCCCAACTGAGAATCTTGTCAGCCCTGGGGCAGTAGATAGCCATTCTCCCCTTTTCCCAGTGACTGTTCCAGCGAGTTTACATCATCCATCTGTGAGAGGGCATGGAAAGCACTTAAACGCCTCCCTGAACTGCTTTCCACATAAGAGGCCTTCGACACATTGCTAAATAACTCTCAGAGGACAAGAGGGTCCCAGTGTACACACGATTCCCTGTTGAACCCGAACCTTGTATAAACAGGATATATGGCACATGTGCTTGTGGAAGGGAGGGCTCAGCTTCTCTGACTACTGTATGTATAATGTTCTTGATAACAGCACTTGCTGGTGTTCAACCCTTAAACTACTCTATTATTGGCTGGGGTTTGATTTACACTTCTTTAGTAAATGTATCATGAAAGAACAATTTGACCAAAATGTTCCCAAAAGCTGATTTAGGAAAATAGAGAGATTTCTGAGTTGTCTGTTAATGGTAGTTCTTTTCACTTTTAGTACTATGAAATGTCCTATGGCTTGAACATTGAAATGCACAAGCAGGTAAGTGTTTAAAAAAAAAATTTAAAAACATATAATACATGGTTTCTTATGGCCTCTCTGTTTGAAAATGAGACCTTGTTCTTCTTTTTCTCCTACTTCTCCTGGAAGAAAAAACGGATCTAATCCTTGAAATGCAGGCTTTGCTAATTTCTTAAACATTGAACATTCAGGCTTGCAATATTTGTTCTGGTCTTGGAGAATAAAGGAGCAAAGGGAAAGTTGTATCTTCAGGATCTGCTTTAGAACTCCTGAATCCAGAGGTGGTTGGCTGCATCTGTCTGTTTTAATGTAAAATTCTCAAGAGGAAATACAGTGTGTGTGTGTGTGTGTGTGTGTGTGTGTTTGTGTGTTTGTGCGTGTGTGACATTCTACCTTGATAAGATTTAACTTAAAAAGTTTTAAAAGCCAAGCTGAGCTGTCAAAACTGAAAAGGAACAAGTTACTAACTGCTTAAAAATATAACCGGAATGAAATAAAACCCTAATGCTCTGTCTGTATTTATGAGGGAACTTTCTCAGCTCTTTCTTAATTTGAAAGCAGTCTCCTTCCCATTTTACAGAGAAGGAAGGTAAACTGGAGAGGTGAAGTAACTTGCCCAGGGCAGCCTGGCCAGGACTTTTGAGATGACTGGGAGTTGAGCTCACCTTTGAAATCCTGAAGTCAAACCAGTTTAGCTAGTATGGTGCTGCTTGATGGATATGTAAACTACTCATATTGTCACTCTTCTAATAACAGTATACCTCAGACTGAGCAAATACAAACACCCTTTATCTCAGTGCATATCAGTAAGTAGTCCCTGGTGAGAGGCTGGGCTGTGGGAGAGGACTGTTTGTGTATTTGTGTTCCAAGGAGAGGCTGCCTATAATTTGGCTTGGCATGTATAAATGGCACAGGCCTGTTGTTCTTTTTAACAATTGGTGTTCTTGAAATCTCAGAAGGCTCTTGACTCATGCTAGCTTTTGGTGACTGTGACTTGAATGGATTTTCTGCTGTAAATTAACAGCCCTTTACCAGGTTTTGCTCTTTCTGGAGGCAGGACCCAGGGCAGGTGACCTCTGGAATGCTCCGAGATTCCTGTCTGCTCCAGTGGCTTGCATAGAGCCTTGTGAACCTTACTTTCCTTTTCCTTCCTGGAGGGAGCTCCAGAGTTGGGTGAAGGACAGCCAGAAAGGGCCTGAGTGTACTGAGCAATGTGGGCACTCAGCTTGTGGTTTCCTGAGGGATTAGAGCTTTAGGAAGGCACATGAAACCTACCAGGTTTTTACTTCTTGATCCACAAAATCATAAACAGATACCGCTTTGTATGTAAAAATGTTTCTTCTCAGGAGACTGGTTCTGCCCAACTTGAGATGGAACTGACTGGTTCTGATTTGTGTGATAAGATTGGATGAAGTGGAACTGGGGTCCCAGGTGTTCATGGACCATGGAGTCTTATGCAAGTGCCACTTCCTCCCTTTCCGTACCTCCTTCTTTTTCCCTCAGTGCTTAGTATCTTGGGTGTGTTTGAAGAGGGTAATTGCATTCAGGTTTAAAATTTATAGCAGTAGTTATTCTAAGAGCTTCATAATTAAGGTGTAATATGTTGTTGCATGTTGAGGTTTGAATGGGTGGTGTTCCTCCCCGTGTGTGTGAGTGGATGGTTCTTTGGCACAGAAAATCTACTTTGGTTGGCAGAACAAAGCCTGTTCCCAGAGTCCTTAGGACACTGAACTCGGGAAGATTTAACCACCTTAACACATTTGGTGGTGGGATTTGTATAAAGAGCAGCTGTGTGCATCTGGGGCTTCTGACCATTCTCCAAACAAGGTTCTTGTGGGAGAATGCCTGAGGTTTGGCTACATTGTCTCATTTAATCCTGTCAGTTGCCAGAGGCAGATAGATTCTCTGTCCCCTTTTTGTAGGTGAGGAAATGAAGGCTACAGGGGTGCCAAGAAGGTAGACCTGGTACTCAAATCCCAGCCACCTCTGCCTGCCATTTCCCATCGGCTTCCCAGCATGATTATGTGTGCTCTTGAAGGCTGTGCCTTTGCAGGGTTTATGGCAATCTCCGAATTGGGTAGAATCACCCAATGGCTGTGTAGGAACAAAGAGACAAAGAGGCGAAGAAACCTCTGTGTAGAAGTGCAACCCTGACCTAAAGGGATTGGCCACTCCCTGGCTTGTGAGCTTTCTGCAGAAGAAAATCCAGCCACTAATTGTAGTGTGGGTCTTGGGTGCATTTGGCGGATGGTGGTTAGGCCTGAGCAAACAAGTTTATCAGCTGACCTGTTTAGCGGTTGACTGGTGTTTTATCAGCACACACAATCAAGTGACTGGAGTGCTTGAATTATTCATGCAGTGTCCTGCCCTCTAGACTTGTGTGATTACATCTGCCTGGAACAAACAGGCTGGATTCTTCATCTTTAAGCTCAGGGTTGGGTGTGGGGACTGTCTGTACTTTTTTTATATAATAAATGATCTCCTGAGCTAGCACCTTGGGAAGTGCAGTGGTCCTCAACCTGTTCTCACAGACATCCTCACACCAGCACCACCATTGGAACCACAGCTTCTGCCAAATGGGTCCTGTATTGACAGAGGGCAGCTGATGAGGTGTGTCAGCCCATTTTCATTTTACTGAGAGGTTAAACTCACTGTGGCTGGCTTCTCTCCCGGCCATTTCACTGTTTCCCTCTCATTCTTTTTCCAAGCTGTCAAGCCCCAGAGAAGTAATAAGTGGTTTCTCCTCCCCCTCTTCTGCCTCCGTCCCTAATTACGGTAAAGCGAAGATTACAGAATCACGGGCCTGGCCTGAGACTTGAAGAGGTCACTCACCCCTCCAAGCCCTTGCTTCCAGACATAATGTCAAGGGTGATTCAGCGAGGCCAGGGAGGAGGGGATGGCTGACCAACTCATCAGTTTCCATCCTACTCTTCTGTAGGCTTTGCAGCGTCAGCCACAAATCATAATGACACTTAGAAACAAGCACCTTAGAGCAACTGTTGTGCCTTGGGTTTGAGGCCCTGACTCTGTGAGACACTGGGTCAGGCCACCTCCACTAGGGAGCACTGAGGGTTTGAAAGAGGACTTGAGGTGTTTTATTTGGGGGCAGCCTCATGCCAACTCTGTGTGGTCAGCTTTTTCTGGAAACTGAGCAACTCTTTCTTTAAGTTTCTTTTGCCATGCTGGAACTGGGGGAACCCTGTGGTTTCTCATGCAAACCTCTTAAGTTACAGATTAGGAAACTGAGGCCCAGCAGGGCAGCTGATGAATCCTGACTCATCCAGCACCTTGTTAGTGGTAGAGCTGCTATTGAAGCCTTTCCTCCCAACCCTAGGTCTCTTCAGCAAGACTCAAGAAATGAAGAGTGCTCTGGGTCTAATAGCACTCTGTGTCTTTAATTACTATTGTTTTCTTCTGTGCTGTTATCTCAAGAGGCTGGCTAAGGCTACAAGCCCAGTTACACCAAAGTCCAAAGTACCCCACTTTGGGTTGTATAACCGTATCAGCTGTACCCTCTGCCCACAGTCCTTGTCTGAATTGCCAGTTATTTGAACAATTAATGATTTGAGGTGCAAATGATACATGGATTGTATAAGTAGTAAAGACCCAGAGGTAAGGTTCATGGGTGAGGTAAAGCGGTAAGACCTGTGAACTTTTTACTCAGGAACACAGATAGCCATGGTGGTGGCCAAGAACACAGGGCTAAGGGAGAGAGGGGAAATCTCGATTTGTCATCTCCCCTCTGGGCCCTCTCACATAAATAGTAAGGGGCTTGGGCTGGAAAATCTCTGGGTATGACAGCTTGACTTTCTGTGACCAATGTGAAGGTGTGGGTGGCCAGGGGGAGCCAGCAGGTGGTGAGATTACAAAGACATTGCCCAGGAGTAGTCTGTCTTGGTAGGGAGAAGGTGGCACCACTTTCAAAGTTGAAGGTGACACAGATACCTATTTATAATATGTTTGTGTTGAGCTAAGATGAAATCCCAGTATCAATTTGGCTATAGTACTGTCCTCTAAGAACCCCTCTGCATTCTGGTTTCCATCTGACTTTTCCCTGGAACAGTCTCTTCCAGTCACACAGCTCCTCTCACTGTCCTGGGTCTTTGCCTTACTCAGCTGTGGTCTCTACTGAGCTCAAAGCTCTCTTCACTCTGCCCTGTCCACCCAGGAGGAGACCTACCCCCCACCTTCCAGACTGCCAGCCTTCACCAGCCTATCAGCTGCTGATGACATATAAAGTATGGCATGGTGCTTCTCTGGGTCTTTTTCTTATGTTTGTTCACTAAATGACCTGGGAGATGGACAAATGCTCCCTTGTCTACCGATCAAGGAAACTGCCTTGGAGGGATCATGGCTTCTAATTTAAGACTCGTTCTCTGGACCAGGAGGCTCCAGATTGCACAGAGCTCTTTCTCTGGATTCCTTTCTCCTTACCTCATGTAGGAAGGGTCTAGTCTTTGTCAGAGGCCTTTCATTTCCATTTTATTGTAGGAGGGAGTCCATCAAGGAATGAATTCCCTTTTTCTTCCTGCATAAGAAAATGTTTTCCTGTCCCATTTGCTGTACAAAATTCTGGGACACCAGAACAAAAAGGTCATCAAGGCCAATCTCAGTGGGGTTTTCTCAGCAGTATAGTATCGGTGATGCCCTTTCTCACACTCTATTATCTCATTTTTGTAGTAATGGACTAAGGTCCTCTGTTGGGGTCTCTTATGTGCACTTAGCACATGGTAGGTGCTCAGTAAACACACTGGTTTTTCTTTACTGAAAGGGTAGAATTCTGATTCCCTGATCCCTGTGAGTAGGAAGTGGAGGTTTTACTTGTGGGCTGGCCTCTGGCTCTGCAGGCTTCCTCCCACAGCTCAGCATCCAGTTTCTTCATCAGTCAAATGAGGGGGTTGGCTTCATTCCCAAAACGGTGATTAGGGACCTGGGATGTGCTGGGTGTGGGCTGGGCTGGTGAATGAGACACTCTTCCTTCCACTAGGGAGTCGGGCATCTAAATAAGTCATTGCGATGCA